AAACAACAACTTGTTGTTTTACGAACCTTAAAAAATAAAAATGAATTTTTCGGAATTTTCAAAAAAATCTTTAACTCAAAAATTGCAAGTTCTAACGACCTTTGTGGTATAAGTGAAAAATGCGTATTATGTTTAAATCTAGTTATATCAAAGATTCTGGAGCATTTGGTAAACTAATTAATGAGAAAAAAAAAATAAAACGTAGAAAATTTTACGAACGATTCAACCTCAAACTGCTCACCAATTTGAAACATAAAAGACATCAAAGAATATATGAAACTGTTTTGAATTGATTGTATTTTATTAAAAAAAAAATCAATATCTTGCCGGGTTTCCTTTATTTTTTAAAACAGCATCCACTCTTCGTGGCCATACTATTTATTAATCTATTAATTCTCCCCAAGATAGTATTAAACCATTCCCATTAATAAATTGAATAGTTCTGTTTTATTTTTGGTTTTGGATTTCTCATTCTAAGTTTTCTTTTTAAATCCTGCCAGGTCTAAGAGCTGGAGTTGTTTTATTCTTGGAAAATAATCATTAATGGTCTTTTCGACTGCACTTTTGATCTATTTAATATGCGAGCTATTTCTCTATAAGAAAAATCGGCCTTTTTAAAGCCAACAATTTCTCCGCGTTCGAATTCAGATAATTGAGTAGCTTTGAACATTTTAAATTCTCTTTAAAAAATAAAATGGTTGAAGTGTTTACCTTTAAACGAATTGTTTTAAAAGATCTTCAAAATTAATTCGTTTGAGTATTTTGTATGACATCTTGACAATTAATTTACATGATCTAGAATTTTGGATATAACTAGATTCAAACATAAGACGCATTTTTTACTTATACCGCAAAGGTCGTTAGAACTTGACATTGTGGTCAATTTTCGAGTTAAAGACTTTTTTGAAAATTCCGAAAAATTCATTTTTATTTTTTAAGGTTCGTAAAACAACAAGTCGTTGTTTATATGTGGCGAAACTTCAGTATGTTATACTATTTGATATGAAGATGAATTTTTACTTAATAAGCAAATGTGGTTAGGTTAATAAAATTTTTCTTTTTTTTCATGTTTCTTTGTTCAATTATTTCCGATGATCTGCAAGTGTCCTTATATTTATGATAGAAATTTGGCAAATAATTATATGATTTATAGTTTATTAATATTAACATATTTAATATTAAAAAAATTGGGATTTCACGTAAATTGGTAATCAAAACCAATTCCCGTTCGACAATATTAATGTTATCAGCAGTAATGTAAAATTTATTTATTTGAATTTAGTTGCTAATTTTGTTACAAATAATCCTGTTATGATCATCTTGACAATAGTTATTGGTAGTTGAATGCTTAATAATAATATATATATATGATATAAATAAAGCAAGTGTTATTAGCTACGTTTAAAAAAATAATCAAAAAGATTTTTCAATCAATTCATTGTAAAATCCCAAATGTATTTTCTCCAGAATATCTAATTTGAAAGGTAAAAAATATCTATGTAAATATATAAAAACATATATAAATTAAAAAATAATATAATAAATCGCTTACGTTATATATAAAAATCCATCGTCATCTTTATGTTCTTCATAAATACTTGACATTAACGCTGCTGTTGGTGGAAGAACTTCATCAACGAATATAAAGATAGCCTTTTCAGGACTCAATTTAATACGTTTACGGATAACATAAACAAATTGCCCAACTGTTAAATCTGCAGGAACTAAATATTTCTTTTTATCAATTGTAGCAATATCAGATTTTTCAACCTTTTCACAAATGACCTGGTTTTTCGTTAAAATTATATTTATAAAAAGTTACAAATTTATAATTTATAATTAATGAACGTTTGGAATAAAAGTCATTGTTTTTTAACTTACTGGAATTCTATCGGGATATTTTTGTCTAATTCTGTCAGCTTCTGCTTTGCGTTTTTCTATTTCGTGTTTA